AGCCGCCACTTTGCTTATAAGAGGTTGGATGCCTTGGGCATCAATAGTGTGTCCTAAGAAGTTTAAGGAGTTTGTTCTGATTTGGCATTTCTGAATGTTGACAGTAATGCCATGCCTTTGGAGTCGATCGAAAACAATGTACAGATGCTTGAGATGTGATTCTCTGTCCAGACTGGCTATGAGGCAGTCATCAACATACGCATGTACGAAGTTGAGACCCCGGAAGACGTCGTCTATAAACCTTTGGAAGGTTTGAGCCGCATTTCTTAAGCCAAAAGGCATTCGCAAGAATTCGTAAAGGCTGGAAGGAGTGATGATGGCGGTTTTAGGAATGTCGTCAGGTGCCATCGGTATTTGGTTATAAGCCTTAACTAAGTCGATTTTGGAAAAGACAGTTGTACCTTTCAAGGTAGCTGTCAAATCGTGAATGTGAGGCAACGGGTTACGATCGGGATTGGTTTAAGCATTCAGACGCCGATAATCACCAGTTGGATGCCAACCATTGCTGTCCTTTTTAGGGACCATGTGCAATGGAGATGACCGTGTACTATTTGACGGTCGAATTATCTCTAAGTCTATCATATGGTCGAATTCGTTTTTAGCTAACCTAAGCTTTTCGGGAGCGAGTCGGTAGGCTTTCGAGAATACAGGTGGTCTTGTAGTCGAGATGTGATGTGCAACATTGCTTGTTACACAAGGCGATTTCGGTTGCGGTTGGTATATCCCGGAGTATTTGTCGAGTATTGGTTGGTAAAGGGGGTCTATGGTGTACTTAATTGTGACTGGATATAATTTGCAATCAGAACAAGGAGTCACGCAAACGGATAACTTAGTGTTTCCGTCTATTAACTTTTGTGAGCGAGTGTCGATTAGTAGATTGTGGTATTGTAACAGGTCTATAAAAATGATCGGCATAGAGACATCTGCGAACACGAAAATCCAGTGTATGGGTTTGCGTAAACCCATGTTAAGGTAGACGTACCTTTAACCGTAAGTAGCGATCGGATTTCCGTTTGCCACTTGTAAACTTAAAGCAAACTCGCGAAGTCTGTCATTGGAATTCGCTGGAGGAACGCTAACTTCTGCGCCGGTGTCGAAGAGGTAGCAAACTTTCGTGGTCACATCGGTGATATATAACAGACGGCTGTGTTCGCCGGCTACGGTTGCCGTTAACGCGTGCCGGCTTGAAAGTTTCCCGAAATCTTATTCGTGTCAGTCGCCTTAGACTTTGGATAATTGCAGGGCTTCCTGCAATTTCTAGAGAACTTACCGTACTGGTTGTGATACCAGCACCAGTCGTGGTTGTCTGTTTCTCGTGGTCGAGAGACAGATCGCTTACTTGAAACACTTCTTCGTGAGTCTCTTGACCGACTACGATCATTGCGAAATCGAAGGTAGCGTGTGAGAGTATGACATAATTCAGAGATGTCATTCGTGATCGTTTGAAGCTTTTCTTTGACTGAAATACCGCAGCGCTAGTAGACTTCGTTATTTCTAATATACGATCGGCAAATGTGGCTAGTTCATCTACGGCGTTGTTTTGGAACGAGACGAGAACTGCCTGCACCTGTTTTGGGAGTTTGGATAAGAAAAGTTGTTTGAATATGCCTTCGTCGAAGGTTCTTTGATCTATCGCTTCTCTCATCCTAAGCAACATATCTGTCCCAGAACCATAATGCAGGTCGATGTTATTGAGGAGTTGGTCTAACCGTTGTCGATCGGTTAGGTCTCCACGTCTCATAATCGACCGTTTTAGCGTTTTGTAAGGTTCCGAAACATCCGTCTGTTTCACAAATAAATGTTAAGCATTGGTCATCGTTCATATCCAAATGCCTTGCTGCTCCTCAGTTTCTCTTTTTTTTCTCCTCAGAATCTTGCCCTGAGGGTGAAGCTATGTAACTTCTGACATATGAACAAGCTCGACGAACACGCTTTCAAACCAGGCGCTCCACAAGCCTACTTTATAACAACTATAAACTTAAAAAGCTGCATTACATAAATACTTTGCACGACCGAAACCCTAATACACTTTTTGTCGAGATTGGATCTGGTATGTAACGTGGCCGCCATGCCCCTTTGGAAATTACTCTTATGAAAACACATTATATCTAAACGAACGAACTACTAACAACTTTTATTGATTATAATTGCTAGATAACCTTGCTTGGGATGCATACTGTGAACCAGTATATGTTGTAAATTGTAGATCATTCCTGTAAAAATGGAGTGTACCTGCTATTGCAGAAATATATTATTATTATCACTAGTAAACATACTAGGTGTTACGCACCTGTTAAATTTGCGCGGTAACGCCTTAACCACCTCGAGGAATTGCGTGCGCGAGTCTGTGATTCCGTGCCCGCAAAAATCAGCTTCTGCGTAGCAGAACCAGGACTCAATATTGTCAGGCCAAAATGGCGTTAACTGAATCGCAGTTGGGAGAATAGATTTTAACTTAAAAACCTTAGGTGACTGTTCTGTCATAGTAATATAAAGAACGTAAAATATTTAATTAGAATATATCCGGAAAAACTCGTGATAAAAAAGTAAATCACAATATATAAAAATCAAATGAAAAATAACAATGAATAATAATATTCGAAAAAGGAACAGACTCACAGTTTTGCGCTTCGTGTAGCAGATCACGTCGGGCTCGCCACTGAGGATACGACTGGTTTTCTAGTTTTACAACTAGCGGCCAGTAGTACCTTCTATATTCGAAACCTTCTTACGCCCGATAGAAATCAGAAGTCAGACGAGAAGAGGTAGGAAAGATATATTTTATACGTAACCAATAAATTGAGAGACGTTTGTTCTTAGCTAACTATTGAAACGTAGAAGCAGTGTCCCACGCCGAGTTGAAACGTGATGTGGTACGGATGCATGACCGAAAGCCTTCAGTTAAACAAGTCCACTTAAAACAATGTGTTCAGCGTCCAATGTCGAACACCTAGAAAGCTATTGATTTTGGGGAATTATTTACAGCTACAGTGCCATTTGAGATGTTAACATCATACCAGCTGTGCACTGATTCCTTAATGTTTCTCCCATGAAGCTCGAATGAGAATGCTGAAAATCTATCTAAACGTCCATGTTCGCGAACATCCTCAAGAAGGTGCTGCCAGAAATGTGTGACAGCTTAGGTTGATTGTTTAAGAGTTGACCTCAAAGAACTAAGTATATGTCATAACAATAGATCTCAAGTATTCTTTCACTTCCTTATTTCGTATAGGCATTATATTTCCTATTAACCGATGTTGAGTGTTTAAAAGCTCCGTGTGTTTGAACAGGTAACCATCCTCTCCACTGTGTCTGTACTGCGATTAAAATAAAGACCTATTATCCACTAGTCTGGTTTCTTCTATTAATAGAACGAGGGTTACCTTCAGTTACGGAAAATGCACATTACAAACTAAGTTTTCTGACCCATAACATCATTCATATTCCTTAAGAAAATCTTGAACTTCATTCTGACGGATTCTGTAGCACTATTATGTAATTTTGGATGTGCGAGCAACTAAATCGATAACGCTAAACGCTTGAAATTAATGTGCAAAGGTTGCGGTGACGTTTGTTGCAGAATTACGAAGCATAAATATAGAAGAAACGGTCAATACTTGAAGTTTTCCACACTGATACGAAGTCTAATGTACGGCATTTACGTTGAAAGACAGAGGGAGTATTTGCCATGCAACTAGATATTAACTTAACTACATCCATAAATACACATATGTTCATGTTTCTTGGTCGTTCGTGTGCGATTTCTATCCATAGGTTGGCTAGTTTCTTTGTCATACCAGATCTAATAGGAAAGTTCAGATCATATTAATTGAAAGCACTTCGAAAATGGAATGGCCTTGATGTTGAATAGATTGAGTCTCCTGAAGAAACCTGTCATCAGTCCTTAACGTATATTCACCACTTGGAAAAGTCAATTTCCCGTCAAGCCGTCTACCAACTACAAAATACAAGACATGTGTTGTAAGATCCCTTTTCAAGGTCTTGTGTGTGAAAATCCCCCATGCATACATCTGCAACTTGTTCTTATTGGTTAGCAGAGATTCTTGTGAATTAAGGTATATAGAGGCAATACGCACAGTATGCACATATGCCAATTAGGGACTGACCAGTTGCAGTCCTAACAAATCGTTGGGAAGATTCAAACAAACAATACTAAGTTGAATTGTTCTTATTGGTTTCTGTAATTGAACATTTTTTAGTCTTTTTGATGCCATTTGAGACAGTAATACTTTGTTTTACCATATTTTTTCTCATTTTTCTTTGGCCTTCACTGAGTTTACATGTTTCTTCCGGAACTGTATTTATATTGTTTTGGTTGATACTTAATCCTGGCAGCAGCCATATTGATTGTTCCTCCTTTGATTGTGTTGCCGGAGTTGACTGAGAATGTGCATTTTGATTGTGAATTGAAGCACTTTTCCAGAATTGGAAACACTTTGTGTTATGAGGCAACAAAATATTATCTGTTGAATGGACTTTTACGTGACCTATTTAGAAGGGGTAGAATAACACTTATTTTTTGGTGCGGTCGGTAGTTTTCTTACATTCCTTATCAATTTGTCTCTTTATAGTAATCTAGAAAGATTATTGAGGGAAAAAATATTTGTTGAATAACTGAGCGGTAATATTTTTTTCAGGTAATAATGTACATTTGTATTTATAATGAACCTAAGAGCCGTTATTTTTGATTTCAACTGAGCGATATCGCGTGTCTAAACTACCTAGACAGTTATTCTTCAGCAAAAACTTACTTTGGATTTTACAGTCCTAAACAAATATCGTTTGTTCGGATTTGCTTGGCTGACGTTTCGTACACTTCAATTTTCGTTTCGGAAGATATTTGGTCGCTTCATTCGGGATGCCAGACATTTGTAAAAGGAAGTAAGTTTCCAAGCTTTAGGAAGGCGTGCAGAGCAAACACATTAATTGGGGCAAAATCGACATTTCCTTCAAATAACTGACTTGAGGGCCTCGTCTGTATGAAAATTTCTACAGAAAGCTTAGTTTTAACATCTGGAGCGTACCGTCACCATGATGGAGATTGGAAATCAACTTTCGAGTTCAACCCAAGTGATTGCTTAGTTTTTGCAGATTGGCACTGTTCACTATTCATATGTGGTAACATGGACTCCAACTTTTAGTTACGATGTAGATTCTCCAGCGTCTTATTATTTGGTTGGGTTGTTACAAGAAAAACACTTGAACCTTACAGCACTGTCCGTAGGATCGAATGATTCGTGGCTCTTTATCGCAACACCTGAATCCATCACTGGAATTGAAAAGAACCACGGGAATATCGTCTCTGCCGATATATCTGTTGTTCAAGTTGCTTCAGATGGTCATAATGTATATTGTCTGAAGGGTAGGTAGGATTTTATCCTTACAGTATATTTCATTGGTAGGCGAAACTGTTACCTTACTAAAAGTCAGTAATTTTGGAAACACCATCGCAGTTGATCGCCCACTTAGTCTTACAATCAAAATAAAATCGATATCATGTGGTCTAGGGTTTTTGTTATGTTTAACATTTTCAGGACAGGTGTTTAGCCAGGGAATAGGAAGGTAGGTAAGTTACCCCTTATAATTCAATATTTTCATCGCAAGTCGAGGCCAGTTGGGTTTAGGTGATTTAACTGACAGAACAGAACTGACCATGATTGAAGCTTTACAAATATTAACTGTTACTCAAATTGCAGCAGGAAATTGGCATTCAGTATGTTTAACTGGTAAGATTAAATAAATCTGTTTATTCTGTTCTTTAAAAACCAGATACAGGAGACGTTTATACTTGGGGTTGGAATGAACATGGGCAACTAGGGCACAGGTCACTTGCAATCAGCAATAAATCAGACTCTATCACCGAGAAAGAACGGAAAAGTTGCGTACCTGTCTTGGATCTTCCTGCTTCTGTAGATTTCCCTGATAACCTACCTATTTCACAAGTAACTTATTTTCCTAACGAATAATAATAATAATAATGTTTTGTCGGCCGGTATAAAATAAAATCCGCGAGAGCGTGTTCGTTGATGCGCACTGCTGAGGAGTCCCATAATAGGACGAAACGGCCGTCCAGTGCTTCCAGGTTTTCCACGGTGTTCTAGCTTCAATTGACTCATGATCTTAACTATAAGATATTATTTTCGTTATTTCTGTGTTTAGTCCTTTCCACAGTTTAGAGTTTTAACTCTGCCTGTAGCTCCTCTGGGGGTTACTGCCGGTCCTGAGCCCGAGTAAATGAGGAGGGTTGGGCATGGGGTTAGCGACCCCATCCGGTAGAAAATCAACTCGCTAAAAAAACGCTAACCAGAAAAAATCATTCAAACCATCTAAACTCTGCCCTGGGAGTAGAATGAATAATTATGACGTCTCATGATGAAAGCCGAGTTCATTCGGAAGTCATGAGGCCGATGCACCTTCTTACAACCAGAGCAACAATTTTTATAGGTACATGAAATGTCCGGACAATGTGGGAGACCGGAAGAGTCTTCCAAATTGCTGCAGAAATGAGAAAGTACAACCTGGAGGTGCTTGGAATCAGTGAAACACATTGGACGCAGGTCGGACAACAACGACTGTCTTCAGGAGAACTTCTGTTATACTCCGGTCATGAAGAAGAAAATGCCGCACATACACAAGGAGTTGCATTGATGCTGTCCAGAAAAGCACAAAATGCACTTATTGGATGGGAATCTCATGGACCAAGGATCATCAAAGCCTCCTTCAAAACAAAGAGAGAGGGCATTACAATGAACGTCATCCAATGCTATGCGCCTACCAACAACTACGATGAAGACGCTAAAGACCAATTCTACGATAGGCTGCAGTCGATCGTCGAGAAGTGCCCAACCAAGGACCTGACAATTCTGATGGGAGATCTCAATGCTAAGGTTGGAATGGACAACACTGGATACGAAGACGTCATGGGACAACATGGACTGGGAGAAAGGAACGAAAATGGTGAGAGATTTGCAAACCTATGTGCCTTCAATAAACTGGTCATAGGTGGCACCATATTCCCACACAAAAACATACACAAAGCCACTTGGATTTCACCGGGTTACACTACACAGAATCAAATCGACCATATCTGCATCAACAAAAAGTTCAGGAGGACGATGGAGGATGTGAGAACCAGAAGAGGAGCTGATATAGCATCCGATCATCATTTGCTGGTCGCCAAGATGAAACTAAAACACAAGAAGCACTGGACAACGGCGCGGACAACATTACAAAAGTTTAATACGGCCTTTCTTCGAGATGCTGAGAAACTCAACAAATTCAACATAGCCCTCAGTAACAGGTTCCAGGCCTTTTATGATCTACTCAATGGAGAGGGGACTACCATGGAACGCAACTGGAAAGGTATCAAGGAGGCAATCGTTTCAACATGTCAAGAGATTCTGGTCCACAAGAAGCACCATCACAAGGAAGGGATCACTGTTGGTACAATGGATAAGATTGAAGAAAGAAGAAACAAGAAGGCAGCAATCAATATCAGCTGAACCAGAGCGGAAAAAGCCAAGGCACAAGCCGAATACACAGAGGCAAACAAGCAAGTGAAGAGGAGCATCAGAACCGACAAACGTAAATATGTGGAAGATTTAGCGATGACAGCGGAAAAGGCTGCAAGAGAAGGAAACATGAGACAACTGCATGATACAACAAAGAAACTTGCTGGAAATTACCGTAAGCCAGAAAGACCAGTGAAAAGTAAGGAAGGCAAAGTAATCACCGACATTGAAGAACAACGAAACAGGTGGGTAGAATACTTCAAAAAACTCTTGAATCGAGCAGCTCCACTGAACCCACCCAACATCGAAGCAGCACCCACGGACCTTCCAATCGATATTGGCCCACCAACAATTGAAGAGATCAGCATGGCCATTAGACAAGTCAAGAGTGGCAAAGCAGCGGGACCAGACAACATCCCGGCAGAGGCACTGAAAGCAAATGTAGCTGCAACTGCCAAGGTGCTCCACATCCTCTTCAGTAAGATTTGGGATGAAGAACAAGTACAAATAGACTGGAAAGAAGGACTTCTGATCAAGATACCAAAGAAAGGCGATCTTAGCAAGTGCGACAACTACAGGGGCATCACTCTTCTCTCAGTACCAGGAAAAGTATTCAACAGAGTACTGTTAAACAGGATGAAGGATTCCGTGGACGCCCAACTTCGAGATCAACAAGCTGGATTTCGTAAGGATAGATCGTGCACAGACCAAATCGCAACTCTACGTGTCATTGTGGAACAATCAATCGAATGGAACTCATCACTCTACATCAACTTCATCGACTACGGGAAGGCATTTGATAGCGTGGACAGGACGACACTATGAAAGCTTCTTCGACACTACGGCGTACCTGAGAAGATAGTCAATATCATACGGAACTCCTATGATGGACTAAACTGCCAAATCGTCCACGGAGGACAACACACCGACTCGTTTCAAGTAAAGACCGGTGTTAGGCAAGGTTGCGTACTCTCACCCTTTCTCTTTCTCCTGGTGATCGACTGGATCATGAAGACGTCAACGACTGGAGGAAATCACGGGATACAGTGGACAGGCAGGATGCAGCTTGACGATTTAGACTTCGCGGATGATCTGGCTCTTCTATCACAAACGCAACAACAAATGCAGGAGAAAACGACCAGTGTAGCAGCAGCCTCAACAGCAGCAGGTCTCAATATAAACAAAGAGAAAAGCAAGACTCTCCGATACAATACAATATGCACCAATCAAATTACACTTGACGGAGAAGCTTTGGAGGATGTGGAAACCTTTACATATCTGGGCAGCATCATTGATGAACACGGTGGATCAGATGCAGATGTGAGGGCGCGGATCGGCAAAGCAAGAGCAGCATACCTACAACTGAAAAGCATCTGGAGTTCAAAACAATTGTCAACCAACACCAAGGTTAGAATTTTCAATACAAATGTGAAGACAGTTCTACTGTATGGGGCGGAGACGTGGAGAACTACGAAAGCCATTATCCAGAAGATACAAGTGTTTATTAACAGTTGTCTACGCAAGATACTTTGGATCAGATGACCAGACACTATCAGCAACAAGTTACTGTGGGAGACAACAAAACAGATTCCAGCAGAGGAAGAAATCAAGAAGAAGCGCTGGAAGTGGATTGGGCACACCTTGAGGAAATCAGCTAATTGCGTCACAAGACAAGCCCTCACATGGAATTCTGAGGGTCAAAGGAGAAGAGGAAGACCAAAGAACACATTACGCCGAGAAATTGAGACAGACATGAGAAGAATGAACAAGAACTGGATAGAACTAGAAAAGAAGGCTCAGGACAGAGAGGGTTGAAGAAAGCTGGTCGGCGGCCTATGCTAAATTGGGAGTAACAGGCGAAACTAACTAACTACTATATCAGTTTAGAGTTCACGTTATTTTTTGTCGTTTACTCTCAATTATAATGGCAAGATTACTCCTACTCAGTGAGGACACCGAGTAAAACTATGTCGTCGGCGTATTCTAAGTCAACAAGTGAGCCTCCCGGTAAAAGTTCTACTCCTGGAGGTTTAGCTGATGAAAGTGCTATCTCTAAAAGTGTGCCAATGACAAAGTTAAACAAGAATGGGGAGAGTGGACAGCCCTGACGAACACCACTTGAGGTAATCAATTCTGATGACAGTTCGCCATAGGCACTAACTCGACCAGTTGTGTTCGAGTAGAGAGCCTTTATGAGGTTAATGTACTTCTCTGGTACTCCTTTCAGTGACAAACACTGCCGTAGAACCTCACGATCAACGGAGTCAAATGCCGCCTTAAGGTCAAGAAATACTACTATTGTGGGACGTCTGAATGTATGTCTATGTTCTAGGACCTGACGTAGAGTGAATATCTGGTCTATGCAACCACGTCCAGGTCGAAAACCAGCCTGGTTTTCTCTAGTCTGCTCTTCACGAGCTTTGGTTAGGCGTCCTAGCATTATTGAAGCTAATATTTTAGACACTATATTAGTCAAACTGATCCCTCTGTGATTGCCACAGGAGGACTTTTGTCCTTTCTTATAGACGGGCACAATCAGTGATTGGGACCAGTCAGATGGAATTACGTCCAGTTCCCAGATTCTACCTAAGACCCTCTTCACTTACTAACGTTTCTTTTACTTCTAATATCAACCCTTATCTTCTTACTTCGAATTTCTCCACACTTGTTACCAATACGAACAAACCGGGTTCATGTAACAAATGACATACCAGATGTATTAGACTTAATAATTTCGGTCTTTCACCATCGCAAGTGAATTTATTGGTTTTGATTATCAGTTACAGCACATCACCCTGAACACGTGCCATTTAGTCTGATCTAAAGAGTATGTAATGAGACATTTTGTAGTTCCATAGCCTTATTCATACACTTTCTCAGAAGTCGGTTATCATTTTTAGAATACCCAATATTACGTGTGGTTATGTAATATCTTTGTGTTTCATCCAAGCAAATTTTCTTAAAGTATAACATTTCCATCCTGTTACTTCATTGCAGTTTTTGAGGGTATTTCTTAAAGGATTTACGTACATTTCATCAACTGCGAAAACGTCGT